GCCCTAGACTATGTCCTAGCTAGTAAGGGCGGGGTTTGTGCCTTAGTAAGAAGAGAATGCTGTGGGTATATTTCTGACACCAGCAAAGAAGTACAAGAAGATGTCTCAGAGATTGAAAAAACTGTGGAAAGCCTAAGACAAGAGAAAAGCTGGACCCTCTGAGGTTGGTTGAGAGGCTGGTTTAGACATGTGGGAACTTGGATTTTGCAAGGTATTGTTTTAGTATTAGCTATATTCTTTTGTGCCTATTTTTGTTTCTTGCTAATCAAATGCTGTATTTCTTGTATTCTAGAAAACAAGGGACAGACCCTTACTAAAGGGAATGTAGAAGTAATTATGTTAAAATATGATGAGCAAGAAAAGAACAAGAAATGTATATAAAAGCTTTGATGAAAATAAAAGCATGAAATGGCTTCAAAGTTAGCCTTTAAAAGGCTAAAAGGGGGGAGTTGTAGATACCATTTCATATTTAGCTAGAAGCCATTCTGTATAACAAAAGCCATTTCAGTTTCTTGTGTCTGCACGCGGGAGTGAACTGGCCTTCACCGAGGTGGGGAGAGACCAGAGGGATGCGCTGTTGGAATGTGTTAATGAACTATTTTGAGCTGAAGCTCGAACTCCCTTTTAACCTGTTTCTTTCTATGCTGATAATAATTCCTCTTTGAAGTTCTCTTTGATTTCTTGCCCTGACGTCAGACTTGTTTGGTTAAGGGTATAAAATACTAGGATTGATTGTATTAGCCAGCCTTACTGGGCCCGACTTTGCTGGGACCACGTTTGGCTCACTTTGCTTTTATTGGCCAATAAAACTGTCTGTTTAGCCGCGTAAACTGAGTGAGGCGTTTGCTTCGACAATCAGTAACTTAAAAGACAGGAAACAAAGGGATAGAATAAATGCTCAGTTTTCAGAATGGAGACAGATATATAATGATATCTCCCAATAATTTGTACTGGGACTAGTGCTGTTCAAAATACTCATAAATGATCTGGAGAAAGGGGTAAACTGTGAGCTGACCAATTTGCCAATGATATAAAATTACATAAGGTAGTGAAGTCCAAAGCAAACTGCAAAGAGTTAAAAAGGGATCTCACAAAACTGGGTAATTGGACAACAATATGACATGAAATTCAGTGTTAATAAATGCAAAGTAATGCACACTGGGAGAATAATCCAAACTATAGATACAAAATGATGTGGTCTGAATTAGATGTTAACACTAAGGCTATGTCTAGACTGCAAGCCTCTTTCAAAAGTATCTTTCGAAAAAGCCTCTTTCGAAAAAGAGCATCTAGACTGCAAGCAGTACTTTTGAAAAAGCAAGCCGCTTTTTCGAAAGAAAGCAGCGAGTGAGTCTGGATGCTCTCTTTCTAAAAAGCCCTGTTGGCATTCAAGAACGCCTTTTTTCGAAAGAGCACTTTCGAAAAAAGGCGTTCTTCCTCATGCAATGAGGTTTACCGCCGTCGAAAGAAAAACCGCGTTCTTTCGATTTAATTTCGAAAGAATGCGGCTGCAGTCTAGACGCAGGTGAAGTTTTTTTGAAAAAAGGCTACTTTTTTCGAAAAAAACCCTGAGTCTGGACACAGCCTAAAAGAAGAAAAGAGAGAGAGAAAGAGATTTTGGAATCATCATGGATAGCATGCTAAGACCTGTTAGGAATGGACTACGTAATAAGGGAAAAAATATCATAATGCCACTATCTAAATCCATGGTACAATCACACTGTGAATACTGCAATTCTGGTCACCCTGTCTCATAAAAAGATACATTAGAAATGAAAAAATACAGAGAAGGGTATCAAAAATTACAAAAGGTACTTAGCACCTTCCTTATGAAGACAAATTAAAAAGCTTGAAAAAGATACGACTAAGAGGGAAGATATGATAAGAGGACTATCAAATCATGAATGATGTGGAGAAAGGCTATGTATACACTACAAAGATATATCGGAAAAAGAAACGCAATTTGTGGTACGCAAATTGTGTATCTTTTTTTTATTTACTTCCGAAAGAGGCTTTTCTGAAATTTGGCCTGTCTACACGGGGCCAAATTTCAGAAAAAACCCTCTTTTGGAACATCCCTTCTTCCTCGTAAAATGCAGATTACAGGATGCTGAAAAACGTGTCTGCTTTTCTGACTTTTTTTCGGAAAAGCGGACACGTTCCTTGGATGTGGCAGAGCTTTTCCAGGATGCCTCCAGTGTCCCGGAAAAACTCTGCAGTCTAGACATAGCCAAAGTGAATAGGGAAGTGTGAGTTACACCTTCACATGACACAAGAACCAGTGTCACTCAATGAAATTAATAGGCAGTAGGTTTAAAACTTAAAGAAGTATTTCTTTACACAGTGCACAGTCAGTCTGTGGAACATGTTGTTACAGGATGTGCTAAAGGCCAGAAGTATAACTGGGTTCAAAAAAGAATTAAATAAGATCATGGAGGATCGGTCCATTAATGGCTATTATCCAAGATGGGCAGAGATGCAGTCCCATGCTCTTGGTATTCCTAAATCTCTGAATGCCAGATGTTGGGATTGAACACAGGACAGATCACTTGATGTTTGGCTTGATCTGGTCATTCTCTCTGAAGTTACAAGCATTTAGTTACAAGCATTTTTTTCTCAATTTTCTCCATTTAAATTTGGACACTTGCAGAAAATTATGGGGTTCTGGTTGGACAATGACTTCAGATATTGAGATTCAAAATTTTCAAACTTTATAACTATTAAAACACATTGTCAAAGTCACATATCAAAACATATAAAGTAAATAGCTTCAAATCAAACTGTTAAGTACCACTTTTGTTTTTACTTTGCCTCTCTATAAATGTCCATTATTATTAATGAAAATATTTGTAATCAGTTTGTGTGTAAGAGGTACAAAATTGGTCTTTATTGATATTAAATAATAAAAATTTATTCCTTTCAGGAGTAATGATAATTCTAGTCTTCAAATCCAAGCCCTTCATTCATGTATTGTTCTATGAAACACGTGCCTAGAACTGGCACCTCAGAACCTCCCCAACAGACCACCACAATTAATAGTGTTCTAGTTGCTCTAGGAGGGCTCTCTCTTGTTGAGGTTCTTTGTCGCCAGCATTCCTCAAGCCCTTCAAGCATGTGTGAGAGAGATTACCTGAGCCCCATATGGGGATTTACAAGGAAGATACTACCTGAGCTTCACAGCACAACCTGAGCCCTGCAAACCTGAATGGCAATGACAGGAGAGTCATGCCTTGCAAACTTATCTAAGGATTGGGGAGGAAGGGATGATGAAAATTGTTACCTGAAATGGCAGCTTGTCCTCACATTCATTCCAAACTGTACCTTGTACCTAAGAGTCTGTGAACATATTCCATTACCTTGGCTCTGTAAGATAGTCACCTGAGGGAAGGAGCTATGTGTAAGGAAGCCAAATAAGAGGAAAGTTAAACAGCATGGGCTATCCAACCAGTCCTCAACAATATCAAGCTTTCATTATGTGGATTTAATGTGGATAAATGTAAAGTAATGCAAATTGAAAAAAATAATCCCAACTATACATATAATATGATGGGGGTTAATTTAGCTACATCTAATCAGGAAAGAGATCTTGGAGTCATCGTGGCTAGTTCTTGAAGACAGTAAAAAAAACAGTCAAAAAAGCAAACAGGATGTTAGGAATCATTAAAAAAGGGATAGAGAATAAGACGGAGAATATTGTATTGCCCTTATATAAATCCATGGTATGCCCACATCTTTAATACTGTGTACAGATGTGGTCTCCTCATCTCAAAAAAGATATACTGGCATTAGAAAAGGTTCAGAGAAGGGCAACTAAAATGCTTAGCGGTTTGCAGCTGGTCCCATATGAGGAGAGATTAAAGAGACTGGGACTTTTCAGCTTGGAAAAGAGAAGACTAAGGGGGGATATGGTAGAGGTATATCAAATCATGAGTGGTGTGGAGAAAGTGAATAAGGAAAAGCTATTTACTTGTTCCCATAATATAAGAACTAGGGGCCACCAAATGAAACTAATGGGCAGCAGGTTTAAAACAAATAAAAGGAAGTTCTTCTTCACACAGCGCATAGTCCATCTGTGGAACTCCTTGCCTGAGGAGGTTGTGAAGGCTAGGACTATAACAGGACTAGATAAAAGAGAACTAGATAAATTCATGGAGGTTAAGTCCATTAGCCAGTATGGGTAAGGAATGATGTCCCTATCCTCTGTCTGTCAGAGGGTGGAGATGGATGGCAGGAGAGAGATCGCTTGATCATTACCCATTCAATTCACTACCTCTGGGACACCTGGCATTGGCCACTGTCGGCAGACAGGGTACTGGGCTGGATGGACCTTTGGTCTGACCCAGTATGGCCAGTCTTATGTTCTTATGTTAGTAGTAGTAATCTCCTACCAACAGTGCCAGTTATTGTAGTATATGTACTTAATCCACCACAACCAACTTAGCCTCCAACCAAAGAAATACCCACCCAAACATGCCAATGACACCCTCAACAAAGTTACACCCAAAAGTCTCCTTAATTCTGACAGGCTTCTAATCCAGTCATGGTCAAGACACCTTCAATATTATTATCAATTATTTGTTTCCAGTAATGCCCACAATTTTCTTTTCAAAGCTTCTCAAACATGGTCCTTGCTCTGAAGAAACATACAGAGAAATGGACACAGGATATAGGAAAGCCATGTGGAACAAGGCTTTCTCTTGGCAGATACCCAAAAAACCAAACAGGCACTGTGCTAACTACATAGATATTCCTTACTACTCAAAACATTGCTATAATAAGCCTCTTAATTTCTTGAAGGAATCATGGTACATGTGGGTCTTTAGGAGGGAGTTGATCAGGGAGAGGCTGATAGCCTTATGGATGAGCTTAAGGATGGTGTTTCCCTACTATTCGCAATGACAAGGTTCTGATAGACAAAGGTTGCAACATGAGATTCATATGATGCTTCCCCAGTTAATAGTATAGCCACACTATAAGATGATGGAGACAGATACAGTCTAACACCAGAAAGGATACATGCTGCCTGGCACCACTGTTTAGAGATAAGAGTGGTGCCCCAATGATATAGCCAGGGTTTCCACTTCTTGGTAAGGTGTACAAAGAAGTCCCACTCTGCAGAGAAGCAAGCAGAAGAGAAGGAAAGAAAATGTTACAAACAGAAGTCACACCAGGTTGATCAGACATAGCTGATCAAATTCAGTCATGGGATAAGCAGGAAAACTCATTTTCAGACAAGGAAGTCAAGCCTACTTATGGCAGGGCTCAAAAAACGCACCCTCAGTGTAACTAAAGCTTTTTTAAAAATCACCCTATTAAAAATCTCATTAAAAATAAAACCTTGGTCTGTCTCAGAATCCTCTTCCATACTTACCCAGTACCTCTACAACACGGCAGTTGGCAAGCCAAACTGCAGCCTGCCCTGAAACTTGAGTACCCATGCCCTAGAACAGGGCTACTCAACTTTGGAAGCCCCGGGGGCCACAATGATACTCACAGCACATGCCGAGGGCCGCAACTTAAGTGTGGTTGCATATATATGCAAATAGCTTCTTTCAGACAATGCCCTGGCACTCCTGGCATCTCCTCCCTGGGGGCTAGAAACACTGACACCCTGTTCTCGTCTATTCCAGCCAGCCTGCCTGCTTGCATCTTTCAAATGCTCACCCTGCCTGGGAGATGCCTCGCTGTTGTGGAGCATGTTCCAAGTGGTGGCCATGTTCAAAGGATCCCACGCACGAGCTGCGTGTTGAGTCCGTGTAAATCCAAACCGCACCACGGGCCACATGCCGGGCCACATGTTGAGTAGTGCTGCCCTAGAGATAGTTCTTAAAACATCAGCCTCCCACAACCTAAGATTTGTCTGCAACAAAGGGTACTATGGCCTCATGGATTTTATGGTCATATTTATGATCCATGTTACACTGTCTCCATAGCGGGTTAGGTGGTTCTACAGAAACAAAGTTACTTATCTATAACCCAGTTTCTTTGAAATGGGTGCTACATATTCAACTCATTAGAATACTCCAAATTGTGCAGCCTTAATGTAAAATTCTACTAGCAGTAGCCACTGGAGCAGCCACACACGTCCCTTGCCCCACTCCCCTTTCTAAGCTCCAGACATTCCAGGAAAAGAATTGTAAAGGGTCTCTCCCACTGCCTCAGTTCTTCCCCCATGACCATAAGACCTTTGGTAAGTAGGGCTCTGAAGCAGTGGGGAAAGAAAGGTAGGGAGTATGACTATGCAGAGCAGTGTTCCCTCTAAGGTGTGCGCCTACGCCGCTGGGCACAAAACATTCTAAGCCCACCCATCTCCTTCCCAGAGTCATGCAGCAGCACTTACCTTCTTGCTGGACCTGGAAGCTGAATGGTGTGGCTGCTTGCAGGGTCTAGGCCTCATGGAATGAGGTGAAACAGTAAACTCAAACTAAGGACTTAGTTCGAGTTAACATTTGACAGTTAGTTCGGACTAGGGAGATTTAAAAATGGCGCCCGGACGGGAAGATGCAAATAAAGCCCGGGATATTTAAATCGCGGGCTTCGTTTGCAACTTCGAATGCCTACATTAGCCTCCCTAGTTCGAACTAGGGGACTAGTGTAGACATACCCACAGAGAGCTTTACATACTTGGGTAGTATTATCAGGCAACACAGAGGCATCAGAAGTGATATCCAGAGCAGACTCAGTAAAGGCAGAAATTTCTTCATGAGTCTGAATGCTGTATGGAAGCCATCACAATACAACATCCATACCAAACTGAAGTTTTACCAGAACTGTATTTTATCAACACTATTATATGGATCAGAATGCTGGCGGATGACAGAGTATGACCTCAATAAATTGTCAACTTTTCACACCAGAAATCTTTGGAGGATTCTCTGTATTTTTTGGCCAAGAATAATTTCAAATCAGGACCTGCTTCCGCGATGTAAACAAGATGACATGGTTACCATCATTATGAAAAGACACTGGAGATGGACTGGGCACGTGCTCAGGAAAGATGGAAGCTCCATCACAAAGATTGTGGTGCACTGGACCCCTGAAGGGAAGCGGAAGCAAGGACAACTCAAGACAACACGGTGCCGGACCGCTGAAGTAGAAATGAAGAGCATGAATTACACTTGGGGTATTATGGAGAGGCTGGCCAGAGACAGAAGTGGAGGACCTTTGTTGCTGCCCTATATGTCAGTGGGCATGAAGGACAATGATGATGATGGTCCCTTAGAAAACACACTAACTACTTACGTTAAACTAGCCATTCAATTTTATATTCAACTTTGAGTACCTTTTCCAAACCCGAGGAAAGGCTCTGGATAGCTCAAAAGCTTGTGTCTCTCACCAACAGAAGCTGGTCCAAAAAAAGATATTGCCTCAAGATCTTTGTCTCTTTACTTCTTCAACAGTAATATTATGTAAATCTGTGCTAGTTAACAAACCCTCCTCAATTCTCTTAACTGGCTCATTAACTCTCATCCTCATGACTGGCTCCTTCAGATCCAATCTTGTAAGATTCATAGACAAATGGCTCCTAGCTCTTCTTTGACAGCTTGAATCAGAGCCTGGCTCCATAATAAGAGTCTGGCCTGGTATGTCCTTCTCTTTAAGGCTGGCTCTTTGTAATAAGGGTGACACTGATGAGGGCTGCAAAATTTTCCTTGGTACTGTAGCTGAGTCTCTCTGAAATGGGACAGCTCTGGAAACAGTCTGTCACTGATCCTGACCAATTTTTCAGATCCTGAACTCCCTTGGATAGCAACCCTGGGTGAGAAGCTGAATTTCACTTCATTCTTGCAGACCTGGCAGGAGGCAGAGATGGGGCTGAATCAGGTATCTGCTTGAATTAGGTATCTGCCAGTGTCAGTACTTCCTGGAGCCAGTTTTGTCTCTCTTTGCCCTTGTGGTAAATGATAGGAAGTGTGGACATTCAGAGGGAGAATGCTCTTCTGCCAAACATATCAGGCATCTGGGATATGCGCTCAGTGCTGGGAATACTACTGGGCACCAGATGCATCTTTTGAATCCAGGCTTCTTAGCCTTCTGAGCCATTGTGTTATCCTTTATATAACCCTGTGAACTTATGTTCCACCTAATCTAAACATCTGCCTATCTACTAAGGATCTAAAGGGATCCTACAGCAACAAGGTAACTATCCAGCTGGTCAAAGCTGAAGTCACTGAGGCAAAGAAGTACCATGTGCCATTTAAACCCTTGCCCTAAGAAGTCTGAAGTTTGGGGGGAGTAGACAAGCACTAGTCGAATTATACTGTTCAGGCTGCTTTGATCAAAGCACTCTTTATGATTGGAATATGCAGAGGCTACTAAAAAGAAGAACTCACCTTTGCCCTTCCACAGCCCTGAAGTTTTGAGTTACTGAGCCCAGCCCCAAATTCAACACACACTTATCACATTGTCCTCACTGGGAAAGGGTTTGGGGACTACTTCAATAAGCTTCTAGTGTTCAGAATCAAATGACCTCACTACACCTCATGTTACACTGCAGCCACTTGGCATGAGAGTGGCCCTCGCCAGTACTAACTCACAGACAGATTTAATATTTCCCAGCTTTGTCCTCTAGCCTTACAATACAAGGGGTTGGGAAAAGACCCTTCAGGACAATTCCTAACACCAGCAGCTCAGCTCAGCACAAGTGAGATAAAACATTGCTTCCTAACCTCGCTTTACATCACATGCATGGCTCAAAAACATTTACCTTGATCTCCCCTTTCCTCCCCCAGGGACCGTGCTAGAGCAGGACACCAAGTCTGCAGAAGACAATTTGCACTCTTTGAAGGCCTCTTACCTGAGACAAAACCACTGACTATAATGCCACACAGGACTGATATATGACTGAGAAGCTGACCCCGTTCCTCTCATGCCACTGACCAAATCTCCTCACTCAAAGACTTAAATGAAGTCAGAGCACTAAGCTCAGATCTTGAAATGATCCATGTGATCCCAGGACACTCACCCAGAAGTGCAGTGTGAACCGCTGCTGCAGAGAGCTCCCAGAGACATTGGTCACTTTAAACTGGACAGAGACACTCTGGATTCCATGGGTGCCATTGAACTCTATCTCATAGATCACCTACAAGTCCAAAGCAGAGGAGAGTCAGAGAAAGGAAAAGGATCCGGGGCCTTATTCCAACCATGAATGCTTTAATGATGGTGGAAGGATGGTTTAAGTACCTCATGAACAACACTGTGACAGGTGTTGCCATCCATCTGGGGTGCTCCAGGCTGTGTGACAGGGGCGATGCTCACCTGAAGGCAGCAAAGAAAATTTAAAAATCAGTTAATCCATTAAAATTGAGTGTGCCCATCCAACCCTGATGTGAGGTTGCTTACTGTAAGTAGAGGCTCTTACAAATGGGGGCCGCATATCTCAATTACCATGTACCCAGTCCAGAAATTCTTCAAAGGGGCATTCATTGACATGCACAGTCAAGGAGTCGAGGAGGCCTGGGAGACGTCCTGGCTGTCGGTGACTGGCTCGAGGGACAGGGTCATGGTCCTTGTCTCCTGCTCTCGCTTCTCCTCCTCTGGCTGGGACTGACCCTAGTCCTCCTGCTCCTCCTCTGGGATGACCTCCATCTGGACTATGACGGGGGTCTCAACCCTGGAATCCACCAGAATGGGTGGGGAAGACATTTCCGCACCCCCCCCAGGATGTGGTGGAGCTTGGCATAGTAGGGGCAGATGTGGGGTCCTGCCCGAGTTCACGCTGTGCTTGGTGGCCCTGACATACCCCGATGGAACTCTTTTACCTTGCTCCGGAACTGCTCCATGGTCTGAGCAAGGTGTCTTCACTCTGCCAGGGATGTGGCCATCCGAGAGTAGATCTTGGCATTCCGCCTTTTGGCTCGGGTACCTTGCCCCACAGTTTGAGGAGGGCCTCAATCTCCGGTCCTGACCAGGTCAGGGCACACCTTTTGGTCCCCCTGGGGGGTCCTAGGACCCCTGAGGCTGCTCCCTGGAAGGGCCAGGGGAGTATCAAGGGGCTTGTGGCTCCGCCATGGGTGGCAATGGCAGTGGAAGAGAGAGCTGCACGATAAGGGTACTGCTCTCAGGCTGGCTTCCTGCCACAAGGCTTGTCCAGGGTGCCTGCAGCTTTAAGAGGGGCCATCAGACAGGACCTATAGAGTTCCCATTACCTTGGATGACGTGGCCACCAGGGCACTTGTTTTTTTTTCCTGGAGGCCATTTCTTGTGCAAAAGCCCCTGTTCCCCGTCCACGAACTCTTTCACAAAAAGGCTTCTTCCTTGTAGAAAGAAGAATACCAACTGCGCAAAACCCCTCTGTTCTTTCAATGATTTTGCGCAAAAACATGCTTGAGGTGTGGATGCTCCTCTGTAGTGTAGACATAGCCCCAGTCTCCTGAAACCTGCTGTACCTCAACCCTCTGCCCTGAACTAATACACCAGGGCTGGGCAAGATGCGGTCCAGGGGCATCCAGCCCACCTAACACTTTCATACAGACCACAGACTGTATCTGGCCACTTTCTAGTTATATCTTGCTGCCCGTGCTGCTGAATTTCCAAGCACTGGCCCAGACAGCAAGATACTATTTAAATGGCTCACAGTCATGGCGCTATCCCAACAGGGGCTCAATGACAAGCCCATTAAATAGCTGCAGAAACCCCAGGTGGCTGCCAGGCAACACAGTAGTGGCAGGGAAGGGAGTTGCAAACCTTTTGCTGGGTCTTTAATTCAAAGCGTGCAGCCCCACACAATTCTGGGGGGAGGCTAGTCCCAAGCCCTGCCCCTTCCAAGGATGGAGCTGGCCCACAACCACGTACCAAAATTCATTAAGTGGCCTCCCCTCAGAAAATTATTGCCCACCCCTGTATACTCCCAACTCTGACTCCTACATCCCAACCCTCAGCCCTGAGACCCTCCCACACCCCAACCCTAATTCCTGCATCTCCTCCCACATCCCCAGGGCCCTGCCCTGAGACCCCCACACTCCACCCCACACTTCACTTTTTTTACAAGTACTAACACACCACAACTCCCACAGCCTCTGCCCTGAGTGCCCCACTCCCACCCCCAGGGGACAGGTTGTGATAGGACATTACCTGTAAGAAATTTTAAGTTACTTTCACCCCTGGTTCTGGACCAAAAGATAAAGAGAATTTTTCTGAGGAAGGCTGTATGGAATTAAGACAATTTGGACATGTATACTTTCTCATTCCCCAGCATTTTGCACTATATAGTAATGTTGAAACTATGCAGCTCTGATAAATTTTGAGTTTGGTTTCAGTGTTGTATTTAGATAATTTCCAGACTGTAATTGAGCTCCTGAGGGTGTTCCTGGCTTTACTGATTTTGTTCTGGATATCCTGGCTTGTGGTTTTGTGCTGGATGTCCTGAATGGTGATGCTGCCCAAGTATGTGAATGTTTCTACACTGGGGAGAACATAATCCTCTAACCATACTCATGACACTAAGTCAATATTAAAAGTCTTACTGAAGTTGATTTGCAGTCCGATTGGCTGGCAGAATGTGTTGAGTCAAGCTTTTTTTTCTTTTTTTTTAATATGGTGTTGGGTTTGTGACAGGAAAGCAAGATAATCTGCGAAGTCCAGGTCTTCAAGGGATGAGACGGGTATCCATATAATGCTCTTGGTATGTTTTCTGTTGCACGTTGCATTACCCAGCTGATGGCAAGGGTGAAGAGGATTGCAGACATGACACACCCTGATGTACTCCTGTTTTGACTTCAAAACTGGCTCACTATGATCAGTACTGCATGTAAAATTGAAATAGTAGCTTTTGATGATGTTGATTATTCCATATGCCTGCAGAATGCACCACAGGTTGATTGTGTGATTGTTATTAAATATCTTCTCAAAGTCTATTATGTTTATGTAGGGTTGCTGTTGCCATTCTAACCATTGTTCTATTATGTTTCACAGAGTGAAAATCTGGACTGTGCACCCCCAGCCTGCTCTTTTTTGAAAATGCTATCAACTGCTTCTCATACATATGCTAGACTATGATCTTATACTTCCATCTGCTTGTCATAAATAAAAGTGTGATACCACACCAGTTATTACAATCATTGAGATTTCCTTTTTTTGGTATCTTCACTATAACAACACTGGTCCACTCATCTAGAACTAGGATAACTAATTCAAGATTTACCTTGAACATTTCTGCATTCAAGTTATCCTTGCCAGGAGCTTTGGCATTTTTAAAGAATCTGATGGTTTGAATGATCTCTTCCTTAGTTTAGGTGTCCGTGTTGATATCAAGACCTTCTTCTGTCTCCCTGATGTTTGCTTCCTCTTTAGATGACTCCTTGTTCAGCAATTCTTGTAAGTGCTCTGTCCAGTGTATTTCTTGGGCTTTTTTTCTATTATCAGCAGGTACCCCTGTTTATCTCTAATAAGAGTGTTTTGTTGGTATCTGCTGTTTACCACTGATTAGCCAGTTCATTTTGTAGATGGCTCTTTGTTCACCATGAGCAGTTGCATCCTCTGCTACTGTTGCCAGATTACCAATAGAATACCATTTCAGTTCAGATATAAACAATTTAAAATATTTCATACTTTTCAGGTTATAGTGAAGGAGGACTAAACTCTAATTCAGGCTATGCAGAGGTTAGAAAGAACTGGAGAGGTGCTGGCCTGCTCTGCCTCAGGTATCCTTGGCTGGGAGCATGTGAGTCAATGGACACTGCTTTTGAAGAATTTCTGGACTCCAGAACATAGTGCTCTATATATGGAAAACATATAGGGGATCCATCACTTGAAGAAAACCTGAGGCCTTCTCCCACTTTCTCTTTCCAAACCACTTTCCAGTCTGAGTCTTTTCCCTTTTCAACCAGATCTCTGTCTGTGACCTACCCCTCCACTCCCAATCTATCTGGGAACTAGGGCTTGCTCTCTACTCCATCTCTACCCATTCCAATCCAAAGATCTTCCACTCACTCGCTTATACACACCACCCGAGAGTATACCCCTCTCACATCTGAAACTTTCCCCATATTATTGTTCCAGAGACAGTGTGGCTTTCTCCTCCAAAACTATGTCTCAGATACAGAACTTTTCCATTCCTGCCAAATGCTTGATTCAAGCAGCTCATTCTGCATGCCTCAGACTTAGATTTCCCTTCTCAAATGCAGGACGTATTTTCTCTGGCATAGAAAATCACCTGCATGAGCTTGACATCAGTTGTATTAACTGGGACCTGGAAGAGAAAAATAAAAAATGTTTTGACTGTAGGTACCCAGAGTCACTAAGATATCACACACCTAGAAGCTATGGTGATAAGCAGAGCTCTGCAAATTCCAAGGCCAAAGAACTTGCCACCAACTTTGTGTTCTAGAAATATGGTCTAGTTAGTGGATACAGCACTGGTCTGTGACCCAGCTGTTTTCCTGATTTTTACTAGGGTCCTTCTGTTTTCCCTTTCTGAATATTGGTACCCCACTCTCTCTGTTCTAGCTTTTGGGAATTTCCCTGTTATTCCAGGATTTAATAAAGAATTAATATTGATGTAAATATTAATATGTCATTGAAATGAATGAGGCAGTTTGCTCCTCTCAGAAATATTTTTTCAGAATGCCTGCATAGCAGAACAGATGTCACTGCATCAACTACACGTGGTGTGTATTTCCAAGGTTTTTTTCATAATCATGGGACTTAGAAAATAAAGTAAATAAAAGCTTAGAGGTTTTTTTAATCATGTCACAGGAGCCATAGGCACAGGCGTATAGTACCTTAAATTGGCTTTGCACAGCAGGTCACTAGCAGAAGCCCAACATCAACAACAAGAAAAATAACTGAAAAGCTGATATGAGAGTCAAATCAATCAAAGGCTGGAAATATAATTAATGCACTCAACATGGTTTTATAGAAAACAGCACTTGATAAATAAGCCTGATTTAATTCTATGACAAGCTTACATGTTTGGTTGATAAAGGTAACTGCATAGATGTATTATATATTTACATTTTTGTAAGGCACTTTATTGGGTATCAAACAAAATTTGAATTAAAAGTTAGTACTATAAAACATCAGTACGCCACATGAAATTGATTAAGAACAGGCCATCTGACAGCTCTCAAAACAATTATCAACAGCGGATTCTGATTACTTGGTAAACTGGGCCAACTCAAACAAAATGTGTTTGAATGCAGATACATTCAAGATCATACATCTAGGAACAATGTTGATCACTGTTACTGTATGATTTTTTTTCTTGTGTCGGGGCTAAGCTTCATCTGTACTATACTTAGCTTGCCTCCTCCGGTGGAGGGAGCGAGTGGTGAAGTCATGATACAAAGCTAATGTGACTAAACTGGGTCTTCATGGAAGCTGGTGATCTGTGACCAGAGCAAGATCAGATCAGAAAGACTTCAGAGAGGGTGGCATTGAGAATTGATGCTCCAGGAGTAGGTTGGAAGACTGAGAAAAATAGAGACCTGAGAGTCAATGCTCTATAAAGATCAGGAGGGTATCAGGCAGGGTCGGAGAACATTGGAGGAAGACATAGAAGTTTGGGGTGACTGGACAGTCAGAATGCCCAAGGCTGAGAACTCATAACAGATGGGTAACCTCTATGATACCAGCCTGTGAGTTTCCCTTTAATCTTCCATAATAATGAGAGGATGGACAAACTGTTCAGACTGCCTTCAAGCAAGGTAATAAGGTGACTCCTCTGAACAAAGAAAGGATGAAGGGACTAAGAGTACAGGAGGGCTAGAGCTGAGCCCAAGAGAAATATGGTGGTGGAGAAAAGAAAACAGGAGAAAAGGGGCTGTGCCTCATGAGACTGGGATGGAAGATATGTGGTTGGTTGGTTGGTTTGATTTGATTTAAAGGGCTAATCTTTTTGTGACTTGGCCAGAGATCTATTTCACTTGCTGTAGATCAAAGACCCATGCGAGATTAATGAAAAATGAGGCACCAGTGCAAAATTGGGTGGATTCCTGTTAGAAACACAATTCTAGAATAGAAGACTATACTTGGAAAACCGTGACACAGAAAAGGGCTTGGGAATGCTGGCAAACAACTAATTGAACAAGAGCTTGTACTGTAATGCAGGGGTCAAAAATAAAATGCAATCCTGGCATATGAACAAAGTAGAATATGGTAAAAGCGGCGAGGAGTCCTGTGGCACCTTATGGACTAACTGAAGTGTAGGAGCATAAGCTTTCGTTGGCAAAGACCCACTTCGTCAGATGCATGTAGTGGAAATTTCCAGAGGCAGGTATAAATATGCAGGCCAGAATCAGGCTGGAGATGACGAGGTGGATCCAATCAAGGAGGATGAGGCCCACTTCTAGTAGCTGATCTGGAGGTGTGAATTCCAAGAGAGGATATTTTTTTAGAAGACAGTGGAGGAGAAGAAAATGTGAAATAATCACATTTGAACCACATGACAAACAGAATTTTCCAAGAGCTCTTCAGCAGCCATTCAAAATAGCAGTTTAGTGGGAAAAAGAAGGGGGTGATTGTATCCCATAGTAATTGTTCATCCTGGACTGTAAAATTAGAATGCATTTAGCAGTTAAGAAAATAACCCTGCTGTGAATCTGTCGCTAACCTCTGCAAACTAACTTCACTGTCACTCATGCCCCCTGAACAGCAAAGAGGCTCAGAAGTGCTTCTGTGGCTCAACTAATTGCCGGGGTTACCTGGGAGGAGAGAACAGGGTCAGCATCAGAGCAGCAGGAGGAAAAATGAAAAAGGAACGCTCTCGTAAGAAAGACTCGGTGAGTTTGATCCTTCCTTGTTTGTTTTGTACAATCTCCTTTCCATAAAGGATGAACCAAAGGTTTCATCAGAATGTTTCATCAGAATATTACCAGTGACAAACATGTTTTACACACGTAAAAACCCAAGCACATACAGCACACTTAAAGCCAGCATAAGACACTCTGGTTATTTTTATGTATAATGCATGCTCATGTGACCTTGTATTAAGCTTCCTTACTTCTAGACCAACGTGATTACAAATTCAAATCTTGTGCTACGGCTTCAGGGTTCAACCTGTTGCAGGAACACAGGAAATGACTGCAACTTAGAGAGGGTGCTTAAACCAATGAAGTGTTTAAAGCAGTGCTACTATTCCTTGCTTTCTCGCAGTGAGCATTGAAGCTGTGCTATTCGGTTTAATTCACCTTAGCTTAGAGGCAAGAGTGCAAGGGAGTCATGTGAACACTCGTTTAACCTGCCTGCTTAACACGTTTTCGCAATAGCACGATTTTTTTGGGGAACGTTTTTCGAATAACACGACTGTCCCTGAAATAACACGAAAATAATCAAGTGGCAGACTATTTCGTGCGGCGGTATAAGTTGGTGAAAACAGTGGTAATATGCATGAGCAGATGAATACATGTGGTCACAGTGCTCCTCCGCTCACTCATGTGTTTATCTTTCTGTTTTAACAAACCATGGCGACTTGTGTTGCTAGATATCTTATGTTGTTAGATATCCAATGCTGACACTGACAACCCAGCACCAACAAAAAACTGACTTTGCCACCACCACCTGAAACCCAACGCCCACCTTTTCCATTGACCCCGCATAGCCCGTTTTCGCTTAGCACGAACATTTTCAGAAATGCATCTATAGTGTTAAATGAGGAATTACTGTATCAGTAGAAGTAGGGCAGTGTTATTAGGACTGCATGTGACATATGAGAGACTATTACTAAAACAGTGTCCAGTTCCAGTGTCAACACATTAAAAAGGATTGTGACAAATGGGAAAAAGTGCAGAAGACAAATGATTCAAGATCTGGAAAAGATTCCTTACAATAAGAGATTTAATAAACTCAACCTACACTGTAATTAAAAGTATCAGAGGGGCAGCCGTGTTAGTCTGTAACTTAAAAATGAGTGGTCCTCTAGCACCTTAGAGATTAACAAAAAATATATATAGTATCATAAGCGTTTGTGGGCACAATCCACTTTTTTAGATGAGTCCCATCTGAAGAAGTGGGGTTGTGTCCTCAAAGACTCATGATACTATATAATCACAGAATCATAGAACACTAGAACTGGAAGGGACCTCAAGAGGTCAGCAAGTCAAGTCAAGTCCCCTGCCCTCACAGCAGAACCCAGTACCATCTAGCCATCCCTAATAGATGTTTATCTAACCTGCTCTTAAATATCTCCAGATATTCCACAACCTTCATAGGCAACTTATTCCAGTGTTTAACAACCCTGACAGGTAGGAAGTTTTTCCTAATGTCCAACCTAAACCACCCTTGCTGCAGTTTAAGCCCCTTGCTTCTTGCCCTATCCTAAGAGGCCAAGGAGAAAAAATGTTCTCCCTCCTCCTTGTGACAACACCCGAAGAAATCAGATTTCTTCAGTGGCCAGGAGTGCTTTTGGGCAACTTCGTTTAATCTGCCACCTGCGACCCTTACTGAACAAACATGACTTGGCCACAGTGATCCATGCTCTTGTTACATCCCTACTGGATTACTGTAATGCACTTTATGTAGGGTTGCCTCTAAAGAGCCTTCGGAAACCTCAACTGGTCCAGAATGCGGATGCTCGAGTTTTAACCAATACTAGTTATACGAAGCACATTACGCCAGTGCTTTGGCAGCTGCACTGGCTGCCAGTATGTTTCCGTACACAATTTAAGGTTTTAGTTATGGCCTATCAAGCCTTAAATGAGTTGGGTCCAGGGTATCTGAAGGATCGTCTTCTCCCATATGTGTGGATAAGGGAGAAGCGGTGGATGTCATATACCTAGACTTTAGTAAGGCATTTGATACGGTCTCGCATGATATTCTTATTGATAAACTAGGCAAATATAACTTAGATAGGGCCACGATAAGGTGGGTGCATAATTGGCTGGATAACCGTAGTCAGAGAGTTGTTGTTAACGGTGCTAAATCCTGCTGGAAAGGGATAACAAGTGAAGTTCCTCAAGGGTCTGTTTTGGGACCCATACTGTTCAATATCTTCATCAATGATGTAGATATTGGGATAGAGAGTACGCTTATTAAGTTTGCAGATGATACCAAACTGGGTGGGGTTGCGACTTCTTTGGAGGATAGGGACATAATTCAAAACGACCTTAGCAAGTTAGAGAAATGGTCAGAGGTAAACAGGATGAGGTTTAATAAAGAGAAATGCAAAGTGCTCCACTTAGGAAGGAACAATCAGTTCCATACATACAAGATGGGAAGCGACTGTCTAGGAAGGAGCATGGCAGAAAGGGATCTAGGGGTCATAGTGGACCACAAGTTGAATATGAGTCAACAGTGTGATGCTGTTGCAAAAAAAGCAAATATGATTCTAGGTTGTATCAACAGGTGTGTTGTAAGCAAAACTCGTGAAGTCATTCTGCCGCTCTACTCTGCACTAGTTAGGCCTCAGCTGGAGTACTGTGTCCAGTTCTGGGCACCACATTTCAAGAAAGATGTGGAGAAATTGGAAAGGGTACAGAGAAGAGCGACAAGAATGATTAAAGGTTTAGAGAACATGACCTATGAAGCCAGGCTTCATGAACTGGGCTTGTTTAGTTTGGAAAAAAGAAGATTAAGGGGGGACATGATAGCGGTTTTCAAATATCTAAAAGGGTGTCACAAGGAGGAAGGAGAAAATTTGTTCCTCTTGGTTTCTGAGGACAGGACAAGGAGTAATGGGCTTAAAGTGCAGCAGGGGAGGTTTAGATTGGACATTAGGAAAAAATTCCTAACTGTCAGGGTGGTCAAATATTGGAATAAATTGCCAAGGGAGGTGGTGGAATCTCCCTCTCTGGAGATATTTAAGAACAGGTTAGATAGACATCTGTCAGGGATGGTGTAGACGGAGCTTGATCCTGCCTTGAGGGCGGGGGGCTGGACTCGATGACCTCTCGAGGTCCCTTCCAGTCCTATTATTCTATGATTCTATGAAAAGCATGAGTGGCGTGGAGAGGGTGCATAAAGAAAAGTTCTTCATTAGTTCCCATAATAGAAGGACTAGAGGACACCAAAGGAAAGGAATGGGTAGCAGGCTTCAAACTAGTAACAGAAAGTTGTTCTTCACAAACAAAATAGCATGTCTACATTATAGGGAAGCCTCAAAATTAGTACAAAGCAGGCTTCCCTAATGTAGACATGCTATCTCGATTTAGAGCTGCAGGAAGAATAATTTAGAATGGCCCTGGTGAGGGGCTATTTCGAAATAGCAGAAGTGGAGTGTCTATACATACCTTATTTTGAAATAGCTATTTCAGAATACGCATTATTCTTCTTAGAATGAGGTTTACAGAAGTCAGAATAAGCCGCCCATTATCTTGAAATTATTTTGAAATAACAGAATTGCTGTGTAGACGCTCATATAGTTATTTTGGAATAACGGACATTATTCCAAAATAACTTTGCTGTGTAGACACACCCTAAGATTATGACAATACTAGTAGAATTACATTACAAGCTTCTGAATCAGATAAAGGAGAATAAATGCACTCAATGTTGAGAAAGGTCAAACAGACAACTGAGTCTTCATCTGTAGTGAAGTTATATTGGCATAGCTACGTTGGTCACGGATCATAGAATCACAGAATACTAGGACTGGAAGGGACCTCGAGAGGTCATCGAGTCCAGCCCCCCGCCCTCAAGGCAGGAATAGACATTTATCTAACCTACTCTTAAATATCTCCACAGATGGAGATTCCACAACCTCCCTGGGCAATTTATTCCTGTGTTTGACTACCCTGACAGTTAGGAACTTTTTCCTAATGTCCAACCTAAGCCTCCCTTGCTGCAGTTTAAGCCCATTGCTTCTTGTTCTATTCTCAGAGGCCAGGGAAGAACAAGTTTTCTCCCTCTTCCTTGTGACACCCTTTTTATAAAAAAACTCATCCCCTTGACTGATGCAGTTATGCTAACAAAACCCCAAGGCTGTGTCTAGACTGCATCCCTTTTCCGTAAAAGGGATGCAAATTAGACACATCGCAATTGCAAATGAAGTGGGAATTTAAATCCCCCCCCCGCTTCATTTGCATAAACATGGCTGCCGCTTTTTTCTGGCTCAGGGCTTTGCCGGAAAAAAGCGCCAGTCTAGATGGGGATCTTTCGGAAAAAAAAGCCTAGGAATAAGGGATCTTTCAGAAAAGGCTTTATTTTCCGAAAGATCCCCGTCTAGACTGGCGCTTTTTTCCGGCAAAGCCCTGAGCCAGAAAAAAGCGGCAGCCATGTTTATGCAAATGCAGCAGGGGGATTATTTAAATCCCCGCTTCATTTGCAATTGCGATGTGTCTAATTTGCATCCCTTTTACGGAAAAGGGATGCAGTCTAGACACAGCCCAAGTGTAGATGCAACTATGTCAAAGGAAGAGTGTTTCTGTCAATATAGCTGACATCATTCGGGCAGATGGCATTCCTACAGTAACAGAAAATTCCTTCTGTTGGTGTAGGCTGCATCTACACTGGGGAATATGGAAGTATAGCTATTCTGACAGAGCTATGTGGATATAGTATCCATAATGTAGATATACCTAAGGATAAGGACTTGTAAAATACTCAAGTTGCAAAACTTGAATTTAAAATAATTAAACCAACAGAAAACCTTCTACACACAAAAAATCAATATAAGCCACATGTAAACAGACTTAAAAGAGACCACACAGTGGTGTGCACTGGTTTAACTAAATCTAGGTGTTTCGGGGTTTTTTAAACAATTTTAGTTAAAACACAGTGCAATTATTTGTATGGAGACAAGGACCTAATACAATAACAATAGATGACGTCTGCTATTTGCATATAAACTAGTCAAACATCACAACAGGACTAGGTTTAGAGAAATAGTTTCTTGACTGCTTCCTAGAGCACCATGAAATATTTAATCTATAACTAACATCCACACAAGAAGCAACTCAAGGACTATTAGTGAGACATTAAGTAATACTAGTTTCAATATAATTAATGTAATCAACATTCTGGGAGAGGGAAAACCCACAAGTGTTGCCACTGGATACTATACTTTAGATAAATATGTTGTCTTTGACTATCTTTCTACTTTTAAACAATGTCAAAAGAAATTAAAATGCTCAGAGTTGGAATGGAGTCTAATTGAGGCAAGTCTCAAAGGCCACATGAATTCCCTTAAATAAAACAAGCAAACAAAAAAGACAAAGAAAAAGCCCCACATAGTTAAATACAAGAAATTACTTGAGTCAAAGAGATATCCTTCAGAAAACAGAAGTCCAAACCTACGCAAGTCAAAATAAAGAGGCAAATAAAAGTGGCAGAAAAAGCATTAACTGGAAATTAGGAGGGCTAAAGGAGCGATATTTGAAGTGCAAATAGTCAAAAATATTTAAAGAATTTCTTGTGATTTATGATGTCATTTGTTTCTTCACCACAAAAGATGTGAAGAGACATCTTTTATAATTGAACAGAGCAGGTCAACAGAAATGGTAAAGAAACAAATAATCTAATAAATAGCAGCAAGTCACCAAGACAAGATGCTCTTGATCCAGGAGTTCTGTACAAATGTCACGAATTGCGAGTGGTGTGAAAGGTTGGCACGAGTGAATTAAGGTAAGTGAGCTAAAAAGAGGCCATACTAAGGTTCAAGCCAGTGCCCCGGAGGATTATGGATTTGTTTACAACTTTGAGAAAAAGGACTGTGTGAAAGAAAAGACTGTGTGTGCTGAGTAGACAAAATGGTACAGAAGAAGGCAATGTTCCCAGATAAGAAGGAGTAACAAGGGAGAGACCTAGTCAAGGACATTCTATTGTTTATCACTCGTGGTGAGGCAAGCAGAATTGGGTGGTGAGAGCAGGGCACCTCAGTCATGGTCACACTAACAAGAAGGAGGGTACGACATCACCCCACCCAGGCTGTGTGCAACCAATGGATGTTGTCCCATTCAACTGGCCCCCGCCGAGGGAGTATATACCACACCATTTTGCCACACAAGTTGGAGTCCATCGATTCGGCATATTGGGGTGACATGCACGGACTTCCGCCTCAACCAAATTTACTAACATTACTTGGGATTTGGCCAGACCCAGAGGGTGATGGAATGTGTTTGTGAGTGTATGTGTTACCATTGGATTAAGAATTAGGCTGCTAAATTGAGTTAAGGATTAGATTTAAACTGATAACTATTCAATTTAAACATTGTTTTTTAACATGCCTTTTCATTTTTAATTCCTCTATATATGTATATTGCTTTTAAAACTGCTCCTCAACAATTACTGGCAATAAAGCTTGTTGAAGATATATTTGAGGTACTGTGGAATGCCTGGTGTGTGGCATGATCAACAGTACAACAGTGCCCTCTTGTGACACAAACATAGAATGGAATGGATGGACTGCTCAGAGTAATAAACAGTCTTTCATTGAAATCAGCTCTTGTACTGTGGGGCAAACCAAGGTGATTGGGAGATCCTAGGAACAACACACCAGTGAGCTCTACTTTAGTAATAGCTAAATTCGCTGAAAAGACAGTGGCAAAAAAGTTCAGAAGTGAGGAGAACATGATGTTAAGTCACAGTTCAAGAAGCTGCTGAGGGTGGGGAAGATGATATGCACCTTTAGTATAGTAAAGTCACGATAATATGAGGCTGCATCCAGAGCAGGATCAGTGGCGCAGCTGCTGCTCAAGTTGGTGAAGGTCCGAATACAGCTTGTGCTTTTACTCACCAAGAAACCTAGAAAAAGGGAGCAAGAAACATGAAAAAAATCAGTAGGAAATGTCATCCTCAATCAAAATAAAACTGTTAGCACTACCGCACTCACCAGCAGGATTCCCATCAATACAAACTCCATTGGCATCCATTCCCACTGGCTGTCTGAGTGTGCTTAGTACAGATGATGCAGCAAAGTAGGTCTGGATTGGATCACCAGCCTAAAAAGGAAATTTGGAGAGTTTACTGAGCGATCCTGGAACAGGAGTACCAAGTCCAAACAGTGGAATACCGTCAACTCAGGAAGGAATTAGAACATGAGGTCTGCTAGACTTAAGGTTGAAACTAGCTTCCTCCTTTAGAGCACTTCAAAGAGTCAAGCTTTAAACGTGCATTATTACTTGGATTGCCTTAAAATTTGGTTGCTTCATTTGGGGATGTGGGGTACAGTTAGTAACTCTAAGGGTGCATCTATACAACAGGTCTTAACTCGAAATAAGCTACGCAAATTAGGCTATGTCAATTGCGTAGCTTATTTTGAAATTGGGAGCGTCTACACAGCACTTATTTCAAAATAGATCACTCTTCTTCCAATTTCCCTTACTCCTCGTACAAAGAGGGTTACAGGAGTTGGAGTAAGAAGTCCTCCAGCTTGACCATATTTTGACATGATTTCAAAATAACTGCCTGTTGTGTAGATGCAGACCAAGGGTATGTCTACACTACAGTGTTATTTCAAAATATCATATTTCAAAATAGTTATTTTGAAATATCTTATTTCAAAATAACGCGGCTACTCACAAAATGCATTTCGAAATAGTGTTTTGCTATTTAGAAATAGTGTGTTCGCACTGATTGGATGCTGAATCGCATTTAAGGCCAGCCAGAACTGGCAGGGCATGAGGTCAGGAGTTAGCCTCAGGCAGGAGCCACACAATGTATCTGAGGTTCGTACTTAAAGGAACCTTCCTGGACAGCCAGTTCTCAAGTTTCCCTGCTTGCTTCTCTACCTCACTGAGGAACAGCAAAGCGTTGTTTCTCTGCATGCTCTGGTTGCCCAGACTCAGGACACCACAGCACTCTCCAACATGGAGCTCTTGGACATGTTGCTGCAAGTCTGGCAGCACTTTCTGCAGGCAGCTTCACAGGATCTGCAGCAACCCAACCCCCAGGCCTTCTTCCAGACCCTCCTGGGATATGTGGCAGAGTGGCTGCTGGACCAGGATGCTGGTGTGCCCTGCCGCCTCTGGAGTCTGGACACCAGCAACCGAATAGTGGGACCATATAGTCCTAGAGTGCTGGGGAGACCAACAATGGATCCAGAACTTCAGGATGAAGGAGGACACCTTCCTGGAGCCCTGCGAGTGGCTTGCCCTGTCTCTGAAGTGACGGTACACGCATATGAGGCCCGCCATTCCCCTCCACAAGCGTGTGGCCATCGCCCTCTGGAAGTTCTCCATGCTGGACAGCTACCGATCTGTGGGGAACCAGTTCGGCATGGGGAGATCCACTATTGGTGCTGTGCTCATGCAGGTATGGCAATCTCAGGCAACTGTCCCAGGGGGTGGGGGGTGGAAGGAGGGAATGGGCTGCCCTAGGGGAAGAGTGGGGTGGAGGTGGTTTAAGTCCCATCCCTGGAAGGGTTTGTTCTGTCCCAGCCACAGAGAGGCCTCCCTGCAATGACCAGGATTGCTGGGAGCTGCTCCTGGTACGTGGGAGAGTGGGGGATTAGAGGGGAGAGGTGGGAACTCTCAGGCACCCTGCCGTGGGCTTTGTGTGTCTTTTTGCAGGTGGGCAGGGTGATCAACACCATCTTGGTCTGCTGAATCATCCACCTGACAGATGTTGATGCCATCATCGAGGGGTTTGGCACCCTGGGCTTCCCCACCTGTGGGGGGGGCCATTGACAGGACACACATCCCTATCCCTGGCCCAGACCACCAGGCCATCATGTACATCAGTGGTCCCCAACCCGGTGCTCGTGGGTGCCATGGCACCTGCCAGGGTATTTATATGTGCCTGCCGAGTGATCAGGGCCAGCCCTGCCCTGGGTGCGCAGCGCATGCGTGGTGCCGGCCCTGGGCGCGTGGCACATTCACGGTGCTGGTCCTGGGCGCGCAGCACATGGGTGGCCCCCCCCAGGCACACGGTGCATGCGCAGCCCCCCCCCTCCCAGACATGCAGCGCGTGAGCGGTCCCGCCCCTGGACGCACAGCACGTGAGTGGCCCCGCCCCCAGACATTCGGCAGCCTCAAAAGGTTGGAGACCACTGATTTAATCCGATGGTGACACAGAGAAGTTGTGGCCTCCATTAGTCTACCTGTGCAGAGAGGCTCAAAACTAGTATACAAACACAACTAGCCACAAATTCTAGAGCTCAGTTGTGAATGTCACAGTCTAGAGATTTGCACTGCTTGTGAGTAAAAATAGGGTACATATTTTGATTGTATTTCTGTGCACATTTATTCCAATATAAAGTATGTAGATTTAGTAGAATTCTACATTTGCTTTGCACAGCGTAAATGGTTAGACAAGATGCAGGACAATCATAAATTAGCCCTCCTTTTTTTCCTGCTTAAGAACAAATAAATCAATATAAGCTATTTGCTATAGGATGACTAACTATTCCAATATCTCACAGTCTCATGGAAAATTTCAACTGCGACATCAGGGTTGGAGATGTGGACATGCCTGTCTGCCTGATGAGGGATGTGGCCTATCCCCCTATAGCCCTGGCTGATGAAGCCCTATACTGGACACCTCAACCCTTCCCGAAAGGCATTTAATGCCAGGCTCAGCAGGGCCCACATGGTGATCAAGGGTGCCTTTGGGCAGCCTCCTCACCCGCCTGGACCTCTCAGAGCAGAATATGCCACACATGGTGGCAGTGTGCTACACAATGTGTGTGAGCGGAAGGGGAAGGTCTTCCTGTCAGGCTGGGTGGCGGAGACTGAGCGCTTGGCCAGCCTGTATGCGCAGCCCCACACAGCTGCCCTCCAGGAGGTCCATCAGGGTACTATGCGCATCCAGGAGGTCCTGCGGGAGAGCTTCTACTAGGAGGACCAGTGGCAGTGCTTCCTGGTTAGTCTCACTGGGAGCTTGTGCCACACTCCTCCCTCACATCCTTCCACTTTCCCCTCCCTTTCCCCCATTCCTCATTGAAAAAAAATACCGTTTTTTTTTTTTTTAAACAAACTGAACTCTGTTTATTAAGCAAAACTGGGTGGGAAATGAAACTTGCGTGAGATCGGGGAAAGAAGGCGGGAGAGGAGAGGAGAGAGGGTAGGAGGAAAACTTGGGAGGAGAGAGCTGGAAGGGGTAGGAAACGGGAAGAGAGGCTCAGGGTTGGAGCAGCGCCTGGGCCGCCAGCTCCCAGCATCATGGGTGTGGGGGCCTCAGCATCCCCAGGGGTGTGTGGAGGATGTGAAGGGCATGAAGGAAGAAGAGGGAGGTGGAGAGGGAGTGGGAGGAGAAGCAATTGCTATGGAGGCAGCAGCAGCTGGAACAGCAGGAGGAAGCATGCTCTGAACCAGGGTCTGGAGATGGGCACAGATGGCATGGCCCTGGGCAAGCTCTTCCCGCCAGCTCTCCCACCGGAGTTGCACGTCTTCTTTGACCCAGTGGTCGAGGGTGGGGTGCAGGGCCTGCAGCGCCCCCAGGTGCTGCCGCTGGTATTCACCCATTGGACAGGTGGGCCTGCAGAGCCCTCGGGTGTGGGAGGATGTCCTGGGTGGTGTGGTGTGCCCTCCACTCGCAGCTGGTCCAGCTGTGGAGAACAAGCACAAATGATCAGTCATTCCTGAGGACAGAGTTCCTGAAGCCCAGCCCACCTATGGAAGGAGAGGACAACAGTTCTCCGTGTCATCAGAGGTGTTGTGCTTGAACACAGGCCATGTTTGGGATGTCCAGGGGGCCCTGCTATCCCTGGAAGTGTGAGCTGCCCCAAGACTGCACCCATGCCCCTGTGCTGTATATCAGTGTGGGTGTAGGGGAGGATGTCCCCTGCCTCCTTGTAGAGGGGGCTTGTGGAGGGGGGGCATCCTGTCTATGTCCCACCCCTGGGCCAGGAGCATGTCATGTCTCTTCACACACCCTTGTGGCTAACAGGCCAAGGCCCCCATGTGGCAGCCAGCTGGGGCCATGTGCTCAGGAATGGCACGGCACATGCTCGCACGTGCACAGGTGGCTATGTGATCCGTGGCCAGCAAGGCCCAGGTGCGCAGTCCCTGGTCCCCCACCCTCCATCCACCCCCCTGCATAAGGGGACAGTGATGGCACTCACATAATGTTCCCTTCCTGGCTTTGGATGGGACAACGCCTGAGACAGGTCTGCAGGGACGGCTCGGGGATCCTGGCTCAGCTGGGTAGTGACACTGGCCTCCTCTGGCTCTTGGCCCTCCTCATCTTCCGCGCCGTCATCAGGGCCCTCAGCAAGGATGACACTGCCTGGCTCTGCCCCAGAGTCCATGACTACCTGGGGGGAACAGACCGTCCCACCCCCCAGGATGCGGTCCAGGGCATCGAAGTAGGGGCAGCTGTCTGTGTCTGCCCCTGTTCAGGAGCTGCCCTCTCTGGTCCTGTCACAGGCCTGCTACAGCACTTTAATCTTCATCCGTACCTGTTCCTGTGTGCGCATGTGGCCTCTGTCAGACATGCTGGCAGCCATCTGGCCATAGACAGCCGTGTTCCTGCGTCTAGTGCATAGATTGTGCAGGTTGGTGGCATCCCTCCATGACCTCTGCACTAGACCATGAAGATGCCCGTCTCTTCCAGCCCCTGGCAGGCTCTTGAGAGCTGGAGGATTGCTCCCGGGGAGTGGTGGAGGGCTGGCTGGTACCGGCTGGCTGGCTCATTTTGTGCCACTGGGTCGAGGTAGCAGCAGAGTGGCTCAGGGCTGGCAGGCCTGGCGCTAGTCACAAAGGCTCTGGGCAAACTGTAGACCTTTAAGAGCTCCGTGGGGTGGGGGGAGGGGGAGGAAAGGAGAAAAGTTTTCCTGTCTGTGGCCAGAGCAGCCAGCAGGTCACCCTGGGAATGGCTGGAGGCCCCCTATTTCGAAATAGCCCCTCTTCCCTGTCTAGAGAGAGCCTATTCCAAAATAGCTATTTTGGAATAGACACTATTCCTCGTAGAATGAGGTTTACATATTTTGAAATAAGCCCTCTGCTATTTCGAAATAACTTTGCCGTGTACATATACCCTATGTCACTTTGAAATAATGTTG